GGAGTGCTGGAGTAACTAGTTGAGTAACACATTAGTCTCATTAGAGTAGATTATAATTTGGATCTTTCTGTAGTGACAGTCTATGCCAATAAACTCTTCTGGCAATTTCAGAAATGTGTGGTTTCTAAGATAAAAATAAATTTATCATTTAATTTGAGAAATATTCTCTAAATTATATAAAGATATCCAAACATATTAGTATTATTCTATTTTTTTCTTGCAAACACCTATTTAAATTACTGTAACATGGATTAAGATACAAATACTTAGGCTTTTCATCTGAGGAACAGAAAAAACTTTTAAAAGGAGTTAATGAATTGCACTACTTTGGTGGGGAGTTAAATGAATGACTAAGGAAAAATACTTTTTTAAAGTTTTTATTTATTTTTATTAATTATATATTTGTATATATTATTATATATTATATATAATTAATTATATAAATAATATATATAATTAATTATATATTAATTATATAATTTTATTAATTTATACATTAATCATAAATATAATCCCAAGTAAGGCTTTAAATTAAATATTCCTAAGTATCCTTGATTTAAAATATTATATTAAAAAAACTAGAAATAGATGTTTCATCTTTTTCCCCTTCTCATTTTTATTCTCTAGAAATATATATATATATTATATTACCTTGTGCACCCAAAATAATTTCCTCAGCTTACTATTATCTGATATATTGCCAAAATTGCACTTTCTCTGGACTTTTTTGATTTCCCCATGTTTCAGAAAATTTTATCCTGCTTAAAAAGTTTTCAAATGCTGTAGTTCTCTCTCCTTTTTACCATTTTCTCTTTTGACTTGTTCTATATCAACAACATATTTCAGATATAGTTTTATATTATTGTCATATTTAATTCATTATGCAGGCTCCTTAAGGGCTGAAATTTTATCCTGAACACACTGTCTCTGCCTGTGACACTTTTATAACATTTGAAGATCACTCTTTCATTTGTTCTCCCGAGTTTTATAGTTTCAACAATCTTGCACTTTTTCTACTCCTCTGTTCTCAAGGATGCTAAAGACTATCTCTATTACCTGTTTTCCCCCATTTCAATTTGTTTTCAATATCACACTATTATTGATCTCCATAGTCTTTTTCTATTTCTTAACTTTTTTGACTACTCACTAAAGTAAAAAGTTTTCTGCTTATCTGAAACCTTGTTGGGTGTCTCTGGTGGCCACACGGGACCCTAACAGGTTTTTCCTTTTCCTAGAGGGTTGGGGCCAAAGGGATTGCCATTTTCTGCCCCCCAGGATGCAGGGCGAAAAGAGATTCCAAGAGATGGGTGAGCACACCACTGCTCTCCCAGATAGGGAACAAATACATACACACCCAGCGGGGGTTCTTTCAGGCAGTTCCGTTTATTGTAACACAAAAGATCATATTTATATGCTTAGCAGGCAGGGACTTCCAAGCTTAGGCCAATCCTTGAAAAGGTCAAATGTGCATGTGCCTTGCCTCTCTATGCTTAGCCCTCCCCCTTTCCCTTGGGCTCCACCTTTTATCTGTTTAGGCCATCTGGGTTTTTTTTTATTAGAAAAAGGGTGCAGTCCCATAGTTCCCCTTTTTGTTTTAATAGAAGCCTTGTGTGGTTGTGTCTGTCTTAGGTTGCCCCCCCCCTTTAGGAGATCTTACCCGTCGTTGACTATCCAACCAAGCCGAGGCTGAAAGAACCTGTACTGGTCTTGTGTGGTTGTGCCTGTCTTAGGTTGTCCCCCCCCATGGGGGATCTTACCCCTCATTGACTACCCAACCAAGCTGAGGCCAAACAGGAGATTACACCTTGGTGTTAATTTTTTTGAAGGGCCAAATTGACCCAAGCATCTTGGGGGTGTTGTTCATTAGCTACCTTTTCCACCACCTGGGTGAGCATGGTGAGGAACCCTAGGTTGTGCCTTATAAGGGCCGTTAGCCAACCCCACATGCATGGAGGGCCTGTTAAGGTGGATATTAGAGTGGCGAGCCAAGGGGAAGTTCTAAACCAGTCTTCAAACCAGCCGGAATTGGCCTCTCTTTCCCTCCTACATTTTTCTAATACTTCTCTTAATTTAGCTAAAGAATCTTTAATAATGCCGGAATGGTCTGCGTAAAAACCACATTCTTCTTTGAGGGCTGCACATGATCCTCCTTGTTGCAGAAACAGCAAGTCCAAGCCCNAAAAAAAAAAAAAAAATCTTGGAAGGCTTTGTTAACAAAGCAAGGGCCATTATCTGTTTTAAGTTGACTGGGGAGGCCGAGTGTGGCAAAACATTATAGTAAATGACTTTGTGCACGTTTAGCCTTTTCCCTAGTGTGGGCTGTAGCCCAACAGGCATGAGAATAAGTGTCAATAGACATGAAAATATATTTTAATTTTCCAAATGCTGGAAAATGAGTGACATCAGTTTGCCATAAAACATTAGATTTGAGCCCCCTAGGGTTTACACCGGGGGGTTGTAAAGGTGGTACCTGTAAATACGGGATGCAAGATTTACAGGTATGAACAATTCTTTTTAACTGTGAAACTGGGATTTGTGGGAATCAGGCTTGAAGCCCTCTCTAGTTAACATGAGTTAAGGCATGAAAATCACATGCACACTGTGTGGTGTAAACAATGGTGCCTGTGGTAGATATTTTGTCTACCAGGGCATTTCCTGAAGAAAGGAACCCGGGCAGCCCTTGGTGTCCCCTTAAATGGTGCACGTAAATAGGTTGGTTTCTTTGTTGTAAATAGGACCGGACCTGTATCATTAGTGGTGTGATAGGGTTGCTGTCCAGTTGGATATGAGAATTGAGCAACCCAGGCAATAAATTTACAACATGTAAACTATCAGAGAACAAATTCATGGGGTCTGGAACTTCTTTTAAAGCATAAAAGCCCTTATGATAGGCGGTGATGTAAGCATCTGCCTGGCTAAGGACATCTTGTCCTAAAAGATTAGCATTAAGTCTGGAAGCAATGAGGGCCTTCACCTCCCCAGTGATGCCATCTGCATCTCTCCATTTTAACCATCCTTTTGTTTCAAAAGATGGTGTTTCACCTCCTACCCCAAGGATTTGAGGCCCAGGGACAACATCCCAGCTAGGAGGCACTTCCTCCTGGCGGAGGACAGTTCTATCTGCCCCTGTATCAATTAAGCATCAGAACATTTTACCCTCGATGGTGATGACCATTTTTGGCCTTACTCCAGGGACTATAGGGACTGTCCAATTAGCCCTGGGCCCTTTTGGCTGTTTACTTTTATGACCCCCTTGGGGTGACGGGGGTAGGGGTTGCCCCTGGCTTAGTTTAAAGGATTGCCATCTTTGTCAAATTTGGACCTACAGTCCTTTTTCCAATGTAATCCTTTTTTA